AAAAAAAAAAACACATCATAGTAAAATTAATACCTTCTCCGCTTCGCATCGAAGCTAAAATTAGTTAATTATTATAAGTTATTGCAAATCGATCAGAGGCTCTTAAACAATAATTTCGATGATTATTAACATTAAATAAATTAAAAGTAATGACATGAACATGAAATTTAGAACAGTCATATTATTAATTTAATTAAATACAAATCTCGTACAGTTTGTGTCTTAGGCTAAAGTTTCTAAATGTAATGATCTCGATAATTTATTATACTCGGCAATAAAAATATTTAACTTGTAACTAATTTTACGTAAAAAAAAATATTTTAAACGTGTTGTAAATCAAATGAAACTGAAAAACGTTCCATAAGAACTATAATCTATTTTCGTCTAATCAAAATTGAGGCATACACTGTCTTGGAGTTTTTAATTATTAGCAACAATTGAACATTTGTCCACTTGTTTACCGTTCTGAACCGTAAAAATGAATTCTGAAAAATAGAGTACCAAAGTTGTTAACGTTAATCAGCACTATTATTTTGCGAATCACAAAGTTTATGTATCGCTTGATTGGTAAAATCAGATTCGATTGTCTTTTCAAATAATTTAGCTGGATTGTTAAGTTATCAAATGTGCCTATAATTTTGAATATTTCGTTTTATACCAGATTGAAATATAGGAAAAATATTTTTTCGTTGTATCGTTGAAAGCCCAATTTTAAAATGCACAGAGATAGTTAGTACACAACGGTATTCGCACAATATTATTTCAGCTGATTTTCTATAGGGTCATACAGCTATTTGAATGGCAATGAATTGCACTATTATCTCGGGCGCTCCTACAAGTCATTTCTTAATAGTAGTAAATAGTAGATACTAGACATGTATTATCTGAGGAATAAAACCATTAGTGCTGATAATCGATCAAATTCAAGCGATACTATTTAGCGTAATTAATCAACGAGCACATATCATTTAACATGCACGTTTATTATGATGTTATAATTATTATTCTAATAGCCTACCGGGTCATTGCGCTTCTACACGAGTCGGTTCCAAAACAATACGGACGGATATAATTGACAATGTCACACCCATCAGTATATTTTGAAAAACAAAAATGCCTATACACGTATTATTTTTTTATGTGTGCAGGTACTTCAATATCGTCTCAAAGAAACAGTGGTGGTTCCGGTACGGAGTCTCAGTCAAAGCAACACCGACAACACAATCAACAAAAGAGAGATTCGCAAGTTCACAACATCAACATTCATTTGCACGGTAAGTTTGGGCAGTGTTTATGTGTAAATACTGTATAGAAATTATACTATCTACACATACATGAATGAGAAACGTTTAAGTTTGCATAAATTGTCTGAGGAAAACATCACGTCTCGCGTAAATTACGAATAAAGACCAAACTAATTATAGACAGACACGTCGTAGCTACGAAGGAAGATTTGTTAATACATAGTGCCGTCGAGTAATTTTGACAAAATCAAACCAGCCTTAAAATGCGCCAATCTCCGCTCTTTGTGAGCTCAATTCCCTTTAGTATAAACTATTGAAAGCTTCTATAATTATTCAACGTGTAAATATTTGTTATTCCGGTCACCGTCACCAGTTAATTAGACTGCAGTCTTCTTAGGATTGTCAATTCGTCCGAGAATTGAAGACTCCCCGCTGGAAAATTGTATTTTTTTACTGATTTTTGTTAGAGTTTTCCAACAAAATAAATTATAACACTTTTTGAGATACCAAAAAACCCATTAATCACCTAGCGAGTAATTTTCAAGCTCTCCTATTGTCACTAGAGTAAATGACGAAAAACAACTCGACAATACTCTACGTTTACAACAATAGCCACTTCATTTTTCTTTGCTTATCTCCCGAAACAGTATAAACTTCAAGATAGTTTATGTATTTATACTTTTAATTAATTATATCTTACAGTATTGTTTTTTTTGTTATTATTAAAATCACATGTATTAATTGCAGGCCTGTTTGCCGCGGTCGAACACGGTCAATTGGAAAAAGCTAAAAATATATTGACTACTTGCGAAGTTCAAGTTAATAGGTATAATATAAATATTAATTTTAAATAAACGTCCACGAGTGATACATTTTTATTATATAATATTACTTAAGATAGTATAGCGAGTCGTGTTAACTTGACGGTTGTGTTTTTCTTTTGTACAGTGTTAACAGTGACGGATTGACTCCCTTAGATGTTGCCTTCTTGGGCAACGATCATGAACTCGTTCGTCTTTTGTTGTCACACGGAGCCACAGAAGGTAAAATATTCGTTTTATTTTTATACGAAGTTCGTTATACCAACAAAATTGTATTACTAATTTTAATTCAGAAACAAGCATGAAAAACTTGGAGCCTCATTTGTTGAATCTGCTCAGTGAAGCGGAACGAAGGGTACTAGAACTCAGACTATGCGGTAACCAAGATAATTTGCAGACCAAAACCTTGGCATTATGGGAGAGGCGGAAACGAGGATTAAAAAAAATGCTTATTGGATTCGAACACGCCAGTAAGTTTATAAAAGTATTAATTTTAGTATGAAGTTTAATTTGCAGAGTATAGTTTAGTTTAAGAAATCTTAAAGTTATTCGACTAGTGATTTGATTTAACAAAGCATCGATAAAAAACCTAAAATGCCAATATTCTAAAGCAATTCCACAAAATTAATATTTAAATATATACCATAAGGTTATAATTATATAGCTTAATCTATGAACGATATTTCGATTAAGAATAAATAAGCTTATAACACGTTATTTGTAAATAGTGTGGTGTATAAAGTTAGTACGTTGAGCAGATTCGAGTCTAGGCCACTTTTTTTTTACGGGTGCAATTCTGATGTTTAATCACTGAATACATAATAGTGATTCGGTGGAGACGTAAATTAAACTATACATATGAGCATTAAAAATTAAATACGTCAGCGATACACAAGCTTTACTGTAGAGGATATTGATTATGTCCCTGGCAGGAGCTAATAGAATTATATAGTATACATGATACTTTTCAATACAAGTGGTAGGGAGACATTTTTTTAAGAATACTCCACCACTTCCAAGGCAAATCTTATTATTTCACTGCTTCTATATACTACTAAATACGATCGTCAAATTATTTTCTATAAAAGAGATAACGTTGCCAAATATAAGACGAATAAAAAATATCACCTGTTTTCTTAAGTTACATTATAATAAAAAAAAAATTGTGCAAATATTATGTAAAATTAATAAGATTATTTCAAGTGTAAAGTCATCCATCTATGTGTACAACCTCACGTTTTTTATACATCAATATGTTATTGTAAATATAATTGAATCATTACTTTTAATTGTCATTTCAAGATAATTTTAAGTATTTTTATCAGTAAAATGAGAAAACACTGATTTATCTTCATAAATATACAGAAAATTATGAAAAAAGTAATAAATTTGAGGATAATTATAAAGTATTTTTAGCATAAAAGTAAATACATTATCATAATACAAAAAAAAAAAAAATATTCCCTCAGAATTGAATTTCATAAAAATTATGTTGAATAATAAGTGTTTATGAAATTTAAATTTCAAACATTAGATGAATTAAAATATTTCTTTGTACTTTTAAATATTAACCTTAGAGTTTGTCTAATAAAGGTATTAAATATTTTTTATTTTATAAAATATTTATAATATTTTAATATATGTATATGTTTAAAAATCATGTTTTGTTGAAAAAAAAGAAATTTAATGAGGAGAAAATTATATTTAGCCGCATAAAAAATGTTACCACCTTTTGACATTACTCGTAAAGTTAACAAGTATCATCAATAATTAATACATATTCATGTGATCATTATTTAGAATCTACAATTCTATAAACATATTTCATTCAGTTTTTTCATTCGTAGATAAAAACAGTCAATTTGTTTAAACAATGAAAACTTCGTACTCCAAAGCTTTTATGCTGATCTCAGTTTAAAAATTAATTATATGTATTTTGATGATTCACATACTATCTCGTAACAAAGCCATAATAAAAAGTGCTTATGAGGAATTTTTTATGGTTTTTCTTTAGAAAAACCATTTAAATTAATTAAAAACATTTGGCCAAGGAATAAAAGTCATATAAATGTTAGAAATAACAGAATTTTAAAACTTGAACAATAAACCGGAAAATATTGTTTATTTTGTTAACGTCCATTTTAATATTTGTATAATTTGTAGTATATTCTTATTTAAGTCGTAACGAGGGAAATTATCCACCATCTATTCTATTACTATTTTAATAAAAAATTCCATTTGGAAATTAAATTTATTTCATTATTTTTCAGAACCTCCAGATAAACCTGAAAAAATTATTTTGCAAGTGACGGGAAACGACTCCGTCAGCGTATCTTGTATTGAAGCAGACAACCCTGACAGTGCCATTTGCACAAAATTTAATAGTAAGTAACAAGTATAAAAAACGGCGATAGAATTATACAAGCTTTATGTATAAAATGTTTCATTAATCAATAATTATTTTCAGTTGAATGGAGCACGTCTGAGTCATTTAAAAGTGTCGCAGGGACTATATGTATGCCTGCAACCGACGGTAAAGTTACTATTAGCAACTTGGAACATGGAAAAACTTACTATTTTAGGTGTAACGCTGGAAACCTGAAAGCATTTAGTGAATACCTAGATCCGGTTCCCATTACTGTTTCGAGTAAGTTTGAATTAATATAATCCGATTAATGTAATCATTACAATGATTAATTATTAACATACACGTGAATAACAAGTTTTCAACTGCGATACGTGACAAGCGTTTTTTGTCTTAATTGATTATTTCTACAAAATAAACAATTTTTTTTTTTTTTTTTTTTTTTTATTTAAGTAATATTATAATTTATTAGGTTGGTGGGACGTGTGCCAAGAATCCCGTCGTTGTACGTCAGTTATGAAAGTCAAGATGGATGATATACTTGACAAGATGATCTCCATCCGGCCTGACTTGCACAGGTCGTCGTTCGAAGTAGGTGGTGGTATCGATAACACTGCGAGTACAAAAAAGAGGAAGCCGCCTACATTTAAACATCTGTTTAGTGGTAATACTAAACTTCATAAGAATCTCCGGAGGTATGTTTAATTAATAGAAAAAAATATTACGTTTTTTCGGAAAACAGTTTTTAATATTATTTGACCTATTTTAGAGGTGTATACCTTTCCTGTCTCCTATACCACGAAGACAAAGTTTTAGTTTCTAACGAGGACTATTTGCCTGTAGTAGAGATTGATGACACTTACCCAAAAGAAATGCTCAATGATTTCCATTGGTTTTATAAAGTAGCTTTCGCATGGAAAGATCTCAAATGGCTTAAAGATGATTTGGAAAAGTCTACCAACAGTTCGTTCAGTTTTAGAACAAAAATTATTCAGGCCGTTATTCAAATGCAAGTAAGTACTTCAGACAATTTCTGAATTTAATTAATCAATGTACTAACATTGTGAATTTGTGGTGACAATATTTTTATTTTGTTGTTCATAGGATGTATTAAACTCACAAAACTTAGGTAAAGTTTACTATAAGCCGATTCGAGATTCGGACGGCACGACTGTGATATGTATGGTAAGCAACGTAAGTCAGCCGAAAAATATTGTTAATCTTAAATGGACACCTATGACAAAAATCTTAAAAAAATCTTCTCGCTCTGAGAACTTAACAGATTTATTGATTTCATCGATTCAAGTAAGACATTATAAATATAAAATGTTAAATACATAACAATAAAAAAAAAAAACCAAATTTAACTGAAAATAATTATTCATTACTTCAGGATCAAATCATGTTTCATCAGACCAGCTGTAACCGGTTACCAAAAGGTTTATATGTTGGTTATTTGCTAATGAGGAGCTCGGTAGACATGTTGCATGTTATGGTACCATCACAGAATCCTAATATGCCAGCTTGTTGCAAAGTCCGAGATAACCCACATGTCACTGCGTAAGTGTTAAAAAATAATTATATTGATGTATGTTTTTTTTTAGTATGATTCATTTTACTAGCGGTTTCCTTTACTAAAATTTCGCTGTTTATTTTCAGAGAAGAGTGGTTATGGTTAAGACAAGGTATCAGTAGCGGTTCTTGTGAAACGAAGTGTTTAGGGTTCATGTCTCAATTCAAAATGGCCACAAACCGTTTATATTCACTTGTGCAAATTCCGAAAGATAAACGTTCTGTGCAACGCATTTACACGAGTGAAGTAATTGAGGTTGACCGTGATGTGAGTTTGATTATGATCGTGCCACCTGCAGAAGTAGCTTGCGCTGTGGGTGAGAGTAGTCATTCGGCTCTTCACTTACAACGTACCGAATTAGTTCCACTCACCGTTCAAGTATTTGAGATGATACACTTTGGAACTTACCGTGCCAATACACTATTGCTTTACGCTCGACTATCTAGTGTCGTACAAATGGATACCGACGACGCACGGTATTCTATACGACAAGCATGGAGTTCTTCGGATTTAGAAGCGGCCAAACTGCGCTTAGATACCGTGGAAACATTAGAAACACGTTTGAACGCTGCTTGGAAACATCTGCGTTGGCTGTTAGATGTAATGAACTTTGCACGAGAACGGCTATTCACCTCTCAAATGTCTAATACTAACTATTCCAAGAGTGCTAGCAATAGTCAGTTAGAAATGAAATCAGTCAAGAGCAATTCCGTTAGTAACATTAGAATAAATTTCGCATCACTGTTATAAAATTAACATATATTTTTTTTTTTTGCAGCTATTACAGTTACCAGACACAAAATTAGTCAAATCTCGAGGTAGTTGGCCGGGACCAGGATTGAATTCCATGCGTACATTGGAATCGGTGTGTCCAGAAATAAGTCGTAGTGATCAATATTTATCACCATCTCCACATGACAGGGGATTCATATTAACTAGTAAACAAAGTTGTTCCTCGGAAACCAGTGGAGGTAAACACCAAAACACTCTTAAAACACAAGTAATGTACTAAATAAAAATATTTATTTGATTACAGATAGTAAAGACGATCCAGATTACATCGAGGAACAAGTGTCAGATAAATCGGACCATTCGTTTAAGACTCCGCTAGATTCATCGTGAGTATTGTTAATCGTTTGATAATAATAAGCAAATTAAAATATACGTGTATATATGTTTAGTATAAAAGAACTGCCGACTGTAGTAAAAGTAGATAGTGAAGAGTATGTAACTCCGACTCTCAAAAGTGAAGGATTAGTCCCTGTACCAGCCCCTGGTATCATAGAGGTAAATAAGTTGTTAAATTTATAATTTAAAATATACTTTTGATGTGTAACACCCATTTTATAAGGGAATATAAATTTATTATATTATAGTAAAAAACAAATGCATCCTTAAATTTTCAAATTTAAGGTAGGGTTCATCTAATACTTTTTTACAGAAAATTTGTAATTTTCAAGTTTAAAAAATAACAATTCGGTTTCTCATAAAATTGAAATCATTATCATAAAAATAGTACTCCTATTTTTGNCGTTAGTAACATTAGAATAAATTTCGCATCACTGTTATAAAATTAACATATTTTTTTTTTTTGCAGCTATTACAGTTACCAGACACAAAATTAGTCAAATCTCGAGGTAGTTGGCCGGGACCAGGATTGAATTCCATGCGTACATTGGAATCGGTGTGTCCAGAAATAAGTCGTAGTGATCAATATTTATCACCATCTCCACATGACAGGGGATTCATATTAACTAGTAAACAAAGTTGTTCCTCGGAAACCAGTGGAGGTAAACACCAAAACACTCTTAAAACACAAGTAATGTACTAAATAAAAATATTTATTTGATTACAGATAGTAAAGACGATCCAGATTACATCGAGGAACAGGTGTCAGATAAATCGGACCATTCGTTTAAGACTCCGCTAGATTCATCGTGAGTATTGTTAATCGTTTGATAATAATAAGCAAATTAAAATATACGTGTATATATGTTTAGTATAAAAGAACTGCCGACTGTAGTAAAAGTAGATAGTGAAGAGTATGTAACTCCGACTCTCAAAAGTGAAGGATTAGTCCCTGTACCAGCCCCTGGTATCATAGAGGTAAATAAGTTGTTAAATTTATAATTTAAAATATACTTTTGATGTGTAACACCCATTTTATAAGGGAATATAAATTTATTATATTATAGTAAAAAACAAATGCATCCTTAAATTTTCAAATTTAAGGTAGGGTTCATCTAATACTTTTTTACAGAAAATTTGTAATTTTCAAGTTTAAAAAATAACAATTCGGTTTCTCATAAAATTGAAATCATTATCATAAAAATAGTACTCCTATTTTTGATAAACAAATAAAAAAATAAATAAATTTCATCAACAGGTGCATGCAGCGTATGATACTGGTCTCTCTCACCCAGCCAGTCTTACATTGCATATAAGTCCAACCACATCTGCTCGTGAAGTGGTTCAATTGTTCCTGCAACAGCTTAACATGTCAGTTTTAGTTAAAGGAAAGACTGGTCCTATTTATCCAAGTACGGAGTTTGCCAACTTTTGCTTAGTATCAGTGACCGGCGCCCGGGAACGCTGTCTTCGCGATGATTTCAAACCGTTACAACTGACTGAACCCTGGCGCAATGGTCGCATGTATATTCGCCACAAACAAGATGTATTAGCCGCCTTGGAACTACATTCGTCCATACCGACCAAACACTGAATCAACAGTTTTTGTACCTTAATATTAATAATAATACATTAACAAACATACCTGTAACTCATAGTATTATTATGAAAAAAGCGTGTAAACTTTTAGTGATGTGCTAATTCATCATCTAACCTAATAGCATTAATGAACTATATGTATTAATTAGTTGTATAAAATTAATGTGTTTTAATAATTTATTACTAAATTGATCGATATCAAAAATATAATTTGTTTTTATTGGATTCATAGTATATTTGTCAATAAATGTATCAATGTTGTATTTAAAGTGTATCGTTTTATTATTAACGGTAACAACGAATAATTGGCTTCAAAATTAATCTTCTTTGAATGTTTGGCTGATGCGCAAANAATAATTGGCTCCGAAATTAATCTTCTTTGAATGTTTGGCTGATGCGCAAAAACAAGACGTTAAGTCATGCATACATAATCGGACAAATATTGTAACNGTAACAACGAATAATTGGCTTCAAAATTAATCTTCTTTGAATGTTTGGCTGATGCGCAAAAACAAGACGTTAAGTCATGCATACATAATCGGACAAATATTGTAACTTTCGAAAAAAGCAATTTATAGTTTGATCACAACACAGTGACTCATGGTATAAATAAAATTCACTATCGATGTATACATTCAATATTGAATTTGGATTTATCTCACCTAGCTTATGTTATAGAGATTCTTTTTTCTTTTATGTACATAATTCAATTCCATAGTTATATAACTTGACGTATTTTTCTCAACATCCATCATTTTATATTTAAGTTATTATAAAAGATCATTGGAGTAATTACTTATTCGATACAATAAAAGCAAGCCCATTTTTTTCAACATCGGGTTATAAATTAGATAAAAAAACAATATGTCTCACTTTTAATAAGTATAAACAATATATAAAATAAGTCAAGATATTAGAAAAAGATAGAGTTGATATTAAGTTTGATTATAAATATTTATTATTTACCGAAACCAAAAAAGAAACACATAAAAAAATTTAACTGAGAAGAATTTCTTAAAAAATTGATAAATATGTAAATCATATAAATAGTTATATTTAAAAATAGAAAAAGTGTATTAGTATATGGCAATTACAATTAAATAAATAAACAAAAAAATGTACATACGTGATTGTATGTATGATATGTGTATATATGATTGTAATCATTGTAACATTGAAGTTTATCTTTATTTTTTTTTCAAGAATCAAAAACTTGCACTGATATGATAGAAAACAAATAAATCGTAAGAACATTATAAATTGAATAGGTTATATTTATAATTTTAGTATCAGAATCTCATGTGATTGTAATATCTTTATTTGTATCACAAGCGAATAATGTCAGTAATACACGATACTTTTGTACAGTAAGTGGTCGTTGGCCACTTAATAATCGACAACGAGACGCTGGACATCATTGCAAGACATCTGAACATATGACCACATACAATAATCCTTATGAGTTCCTGGTACCTAATTTTGATATTTGTAACGAAATACCGATACTAGTCTGTAATATGAATTATGTTAACGCAATGAGTGATTACTCATGAATTCCTGGTACAAAGTTTTACATTTTCGAATTTTTAGATAAATGGTGAGGTGCGGTGGCAAGCTCGTCTCGGTGATCATCCATCATAACGTTACTGTTATCCTACAAACGATCAATCGTTGCACATGCATAGAAAATGTATGATATGAGGCTTAATAAGGAAACAAAAGCCCACTTTTAAGAGTTTTAAATAGACTACAACACAACAAATATAAAATTTGCTCATTACTTATACAATTTTATAAGTTATATTATATAAATCCATAATATTGAGCTGGACAAAAAAAAAACAGCACAGTGGGGACGTGCCATACTTAGGTCAAGTATAATGATATCAAAGAGTGATTAAAATCACAATCATAAAAAACGCTTCGATGCAAATCTGTAAATAGTGTTTAATTTTAAGAAATTTATCATTATTATAATGATAAATTTCTTTATCAAGTTTACAAAATAAAAAATTATTGTGTAATAAATAATTATTATATCCATTGAAACAGTGAAAACTTTTACAATTTGTGTTAGATACCAGTTTGTTTATAATAATAAAATGTTGTCAATACTTTCAATTAACGTGTTTCATTCAATGGTTCTTATATTTTCTCCACAATTTCAAATTTTTTGAATATATACTTACACAGTTAACTTCTTTTTTTTTGTTTAGAAATTAGTCATATTTCTTAATTAATCTAAACAGTAGGCTACTATTACGAAGTGATTCAAAGTATTCCATTTGTCTCACATAAAATAAAGAAGATATTTTATTTTTGGTCATTTAATGCTTTAAGTCGAAAAACCTTTCTTAAGACTAAAACGAAAAGAAATGGCCGAAAAATCAAGATTTCAAAAGTAACTTTATTAATATTTTTCTTAAAATAAGTAAAAAATAATACAAAGAAAACCAAAAATTACTTCACAAGTAACAAAACTTTAGCTTGCCAATAAATTTTTTTTTATAGTTTTCGAATACTATAATTTATTATACATATATACATAAATTATTATGAAATTGTAATCCGACCTATTAAATTTATAGTAATCTTTAAACTGACTATGATTGTTTTAAAGACATTTTCGAATATCAATATTTTTGGGTCGGGACCAGAAAAAGAAATTGAGCGATATGACCAAAGAAAGGGAAAATTATTTCAATATATAAAAATTATTTCTTCAACATTTTTGTGTAGATAAATAGTTATAGTTAAAATATAGTTTTTAGAAATAATGTTTAGTAGCAATATTTAACGACAATATATAATTGTAACAATGAGTGCATGTAAAACTATCAATCTTAAAATAATTTAATGATTATTATTTCTATTGATACGATTACGATATAAATACAAATAATAATATAAGTGATTAAAAACGAAATTTTGAACGAAATCATAACTGAAACTAGGCACGGAATATTTCTGAATATCTGTATGTTATGGAATACTAAAAGACATAATTATACGGAAAATAGTTCTGAATATTTCAATGGTATTGTCTATTTAAATACCAAGAGTTACATAGAAATTATTAATACTTCTTTTAAAATGATATATTTCAATAAAAAAATAATTAAAAACACAAAGATATTGTTTTTATATTACTAGAGATTTCATTTTTAATATGTTACAAATAATTAGTGCAAAATATCATTTTTAACCTATTTTTTTGGTTTATTAAAGTTGATTTTTTGAATGTTTATAATAAAAAAACGGTAACACAGTGGGATTGCGACACAAGTATATATATATATTTAATTTAGAAATAAAAAATTTGTGTTGATCCATACATTTTACAATTAATTTAAAGTTGAAAAAATAAAATATGAAATTTTACACCAAATTTGCATGTTTTTTAACTATGGTAACCATTTTCACAAAAAAAAAGTCGGCACAATTTTTTTTTTTTTAACTTATAGTACATTACATTAGTTTTATTTTAATATATGTTTTAAGCTTGGAGTATTTCCGGAACATTTTCAAAACTTAAGTTGAAAAATTTTAATTTTTGTGTAGAAGTTGCTATTTTGAATCCGTCTTTAAGAAGGTAAAGGGTCAGATTTTCAAAAAAGTTATATTAAATGAATGAAAAATATCTATGATTTTAATATAAAAAAGAACTATTTTGATTTGTTCATTTTTCAATAAGTTATGGCAATTTTTATAAAAAAAAATGTTGAAATTTACCGAATTTTTTTAATTTTTGGAGGATTTTCGCTATTTACAGGAAACGAGGGCCAAATTTTCAATTTTTCAGGCTATTATCTTGAACTAGGTTTGTGATCTTTTGACGTATCATTGAAAGAAATCGATCCAGCGAGAGCTGAAAAAAAATGGCAACATACACAAAAAAAAAAAATACATCATAGTAAAATTAATACCTTCTTAGCCTCACATCGAAGCTAAATAATTAATTTAAATGAAAAAGTTAATTTGCACCAGAATAAATATATGTAGTTTGAATAATTTCAGGTATTTTAAAACATATAATTGTAAATATTAATATTATTTAAATATAATTCAAATTTTTAGAAACCAAATCTAATGAATAATATTTTTTGCACTATATAATTTCTATAATAATATTTAATACAAAATTCACTTTTCTAGTTAAGATTTCTATAAAATTATATTTATTTTTTTTAAAAAAAATTTTTATTTTTAATTTTGCAATTATTTGTTAAACAAGTGTCCAATAATAATTTGAATATCAATAAATACGTGTTTATTTTACATTTTCAATCTAATATATTCAGTTTTAGCTGACCTCCTCAAGTTCATCTATCATTTTAAAAACTAAATAACTTACAGTTTAAAATATATTTTGAGTTCAGTCTAAGTTAATTGGTTTTTAGAAATTTAAACAATTCTTCAATTATTAATGAAAGTTATATCTGATTATAGTGGCAAACAATTATAAGAAATATATCGTTAAACGTTTGAATATTCTGAAAGTAAAAAGTACACATGCGTCTCTACTCAGATCAGGAAGAAAAATCGCCTGAAAAGTAATCAAAAGAAATTTATCCGCGAAAGTCATTTGGAAAATGTAAATAACTGGTAAATAGCAACAAACCCAGGTGAAAATCCTGCACCAAATGAACTTCATCAAATTGATACTTTATACGTGACACATACAAAAGATCCAGTTTTTGAAAGTCTTCTTAATACATTATACGAAATCGTTAAAGATGTACTCGATAAGATTAAGTCACTGAAAATTACTTTGGAGATACTGATAGAACTTACCCCGTTGGTGGCCAATGTCAACTATTAGAGAACTTCTTTCTTATCTATGGAAATTTACCAAATGAATTATCTTAATCGGATACAGACGTCAAATTAATTTCGCAGTGTTAGAAATTTTACGACAGGTGTGAAAATATCGATGGTATCATTTTTACTAAATATTGTGATGCTCTTAGGTACCATAAAATCTTTTTGAACAATATTGGCTTACCAAGTTTTTAGAATGAATCATATCAAGATTACACGTCTATTATTTTATTTAATATTGTACTTCATTTTTAGTTTTATACATTGTTTCTATTTATCCACAAGTTGAAACGTCATCAATTTTTTTGTATTTATGTAAAATGTTCATTATAATTGTATCAAAATTTATTTACTAATTAAAAGACTCCTTTAGAATATTGTTCACATCATTAGTTCGTAAAAAAACTCAGCGTATAGAACTATAACATTAACTAAGATAAAT